GGAACACAGGAAAGGGAACCATCAGTTCTGCCCAAATCAGAACTTACGGAGAATTTAAAATTTTCTCATCTTCGAAAATATTTCCTTTTATGTATTTATGGGAGAAATGAAGTAAGGATGCGCAAATTCTTTTTAAGGCAAGACGTTTCTTTGCAACTTAACGAGTGTTTCGAAATCTCTGTTCGGAGGCTTTTCGAGAGGCTGTTTTTCATCTAACACGCTGTGTTTATCCAAAAGCTCCACTTTCAAACGATTCTTGCAAGTTGGTGGACACGGGTTATTCTACGGACATGTTAGATTTCACTCAGACCTGGGTGTGCGTGTTCACACACACAGTCACGAACATGTCCAGGTGTGGAAAGAAAGAACTGTTGAACTGGAACAAAAAATATATATTTTAAGTTGCTAGGGGCATCGTTGGCAGGAAGGTGGTTAAGGAGCCTCGCAGCTTCCCGTGGTATCATTCAGAGGGGACTCTCCCTTCCTCTCATGGCTTTTGTCAAAGATGCATAGTAACGCATCACTGAGGCCAGGAGAGAGAAGTGATGTCTAAGCGTGAGTGAGGATACGGCATTACTCTGAGGACGTCGGGGAGAGAACTTACTGAACAGCATAGTAGTGATACACCACAGCGAAGGGCTGTACGATATGGAGGGTCACGTGTATTATTATGATGGAGGTGCCCCTCGACTTCTCGGGGCGCCATGAGCAGCTGAGCCCCTCCCTGATTCAACGGGGCCTCCTGTCACGAGTGGCTGCTAATCCGCTCATTCCTGGTTGGTCGGCATAACCTCTAGCCTCAGTCTGTAAAGCCAACAAGCCAATACTGGACGGGCTCCCTTCCTTTGTGGGGACGGTAAACACCGTGGAAACACGATACGTTTGCTCCAGGCTGAGAGGGTCAGATAGTTATAACCCATGGCCGGATGAAAGGCATCTGGATGATGCCGACCACCAAGGAAGGCGCCCCGAAGGAAAGTGATCACGTGACTTGGGTCTCCCCAGCAGGGCCGAAGCTACAGCTTCTTGCTCTGTGCCTCCTGGGCCTGCCAAGGATTTCCACAAAGTGCTTAACTTCTTATAGTGCCTTGCTCGAGTGTGTTTGCTAATGTTTTCACTAAGGAAACAGACTACTCAGGAGCTCCGTGCACCACAATCGGCAGCTTGTCTTCGATTTGTCTCAATCCTTTTGTCTGTGGACAGAACTGTGAGCCTGGGCAGTCACTCACGGTGACAAGAGAGGCACACTGACACTCTCCAGCCCCTTCCTCCAGTGGCCACCGAGGAGACCTTTACAGCAGACGCCAGGAAGTCAAGGCTTCGAAGGCCCGTGGGAAGACACAGCAGATCTCCGCATTCCAGCCGCACCAAACCCCAAGGCTTAGCAGCAAACAACCAGAGTTGCTCAAAACCACATGAATTTTCACTGTCTATGGCTAAGGTCGCTCCCTAATTGGCACTTGCCCATAGCACACATTTTGCACCTGGAAAAGATAACACAGCCCCAGACTGGTGCTCATCACAATGTGGCTAAGGTCGCTCCCTAATTGGCACTTGCCCATAGAACACATTTTGCACCTGGAAAAGATAACACATTGTGCTCATCACAATGGAGGTCTTAGCTTGTCAAGAGATTTGTTGTGTCATGATGGGCAAGTATCAACTTGTCATTTCTCTAGCTGCTTCCCCTAAACATTAAGTTGGACCAAATGAAACTGCACTTTTTGTGGGTCAAGAAAGATCAAATCAAGAAGAGCAGTGTTCATCTTAGTAGAAAGGATAGATAAGAATGCACCTCTATGAAGTGGCTTCTATGTCCCAGGCCCTCTGCAGGGACCCTAGCTGTGCTGCATCTCTGAATTTTCATTCATGACATCGTGTCAAGGTGCTAGTATCATCTCCATTTTACGGACGAGACAATGGAGGTCATGAGAGGTTAGAGAACTTGCCCTCAGACTTGGTGAGGACGGCTGAGACAGGAACCTGCTCTTGTTTGCCTTGAAGGCCTGGATACTTTTGCTCTGCCACGTGCAGATCACGCTTTGTGAAATCACTAGGAAGGCACGCAGGTGGTTCGTTTGAACTAAATAAAAAAGAACTGAAGCTATTTCCACGTAGAAATGACCGACATTGCGTCACCACCCTACTAAATGCACTCCATGACTCTCTGCTTACGGCTATGTACAAATTCAGCCAAGTCCTCATCATTCCGCTAGTTTCTCTTTCTAGCTTTACCCTCTCCTGCTTTCCTTGTACCCCATTCTCCATTTCCCAGATCGCATCTCAGATCGCCTCACTTAGACAGCGAGCTCTTGTCCAGGCCACATCTCTTCCTGAAATAGTGGATCCTGAATCAATGGCGGGGACTGTACCCATCCTTCCAGACTCCCTTCAAATGCCTCTCTGTCCGTGAAGTTTTCCTAGTTCCCCCAAAGATGTGAACGTTTCTTTCTCCAAACTTCCACGGTCCCCCGAATGCCTGCTTGAGGTCTTACCCCTTCTGGTCCTGCTGGTGATGTGGCTACTTGGACACTTGCCCATCCATTCCCTAGAGCAGGGGTCAGGGGCAAACTTATCTGCAAAGGACCAGATAGTAAACATTTTAGGCAGTCCAGGTCATAACGGCCCCTGCCACAACTACTCAACTCTGCTGTTGTATTGCGAAAACAGCCGTAGCCATTACCTAAATGAAAGGGCCTGGCAGTGTTTCAATAAAACTTTATTAACAAAAAAACCAGATGATGAACTTGATTTGGCCCCAGCGTACCAACCCCTGTCCCAGCTTATTGGTTCTCCAGTGTCAGCAATTGTGTCTTCCCCGTGTCTATATCCCATCTGTGCTGTACATGTCACAGGTAGCACGCATAAATATTTGTGAAACTGAATAGCCTTTCTAATTGCTGGAATTAGATTTTTTTTAGCTGTCACTGAGGCCCTGGTCTGTGCAGTGCCACTGAGCTGCCACACAGAACCTCTTAAGCTACGGCTGATTTTCCTGTGTGCTCAGGACCTTGCCCTCAGGCTTCAGAGACTGACTCCTATGAAGCCACAAAATCCATTTTGCCAACCCTTTCTCCTCAAACTTGGGGAAAACACCGGCGAGGTTTACAGTCGTAGAAAGTCACCTTGGCCTGGGAGTCTGCGAACGCAACAAGGGGTACTGCACGAGGCAATTTCTGACTCAAAAGAAAGAGAAAGTGGGTCCCAGGGCAGGAAGGAGCCCGCAAAGACCGCTTTCTTTCACTGAACTAGCTGTTCACTCAATCTGTAAGTGACCCGTCATGAAGAGCCGCTCATCACTTACTTCATGGCTCTACGTGGGGCAGATCTTCAGACGCTCATATATCCTTCGAGGGGTTGATTCCAAAACACAGTGGTTCACCCAAACCACAGCCCCCAGGTGCTGGGTTTTGCATTTGCTGATGATATTTCATGCATTAAAACACTTCTGTCCTCCAACTTCCAGAGCTCGCTCAGTAGGTCATGAACCCTGGCTTCCCATCGACTATCAGTCCCTATCCTTGGATAACTCTGGCCTCCTTCCTTCTTTCTAAACCACTTGTATGACAGAGATGCTCTAAATCCCACTGACCGGGAGTCATCTGTCTATTAGTTATCATCAGATACCGACTAAAACTATTTTTAAAAAGCTCTCAGGAATCCGTAAAGACCAGCACCTAGAGTGCCTCCAGCATTGACCTCTGTTCGAAGGAAGCATGGCTGACCCTTGAACAACGTGGGTTGCAACTGCATGGGTCCTCTTATACGAGGAAATTTTTCAATAAACAGCCCTCTGTATTCCCCGGTTTCCCGTCGTGGATTCAACCAACTATGGATCAGACAGTATCCTGACCCGTGCTGGGGATCCATGGATGCAGAGGCTGCCTGTACGCACTGCTCCACACCATTTTATATAAGGGACTTGAGCACCCACAGATTTTGGCATGGGAGGTGGTGGGGGAATTGGCTCTGGAACCAATCCCCTGCAGATACCGAGGGGCGACTGTTGTTAGGTTTTGGGGGGAGTCAAAAGTCATGTTGAATTTTGATGGCATGGGGGTCACCACAAACCCCTGCATTGTCCAAAGGTCAGCTGTACACCCAATCTATTTGCTTTTTGTCTGGGATAGTGGCTAGAAAGTCGGCGTGGATGATAAAGGACGGTATTTAGGCAAGAACAGATTAAGAGCCAATTTGACAGGTTTAGTGATAAAGGAAGCAGATAGGGACCCCGTCCGCCCCTCTGACGGCCGAACTTTCAGCAGACGCAGAGCCAACAGCTCCGCGTGGAAGACGGCGCGTTATCGCAATGGACGAGAAGAAAATATGTCAGCAGGTCAAAGACAAGATCAAGGTCTTTGCTGCCAAAGCATCCGCACGTTCCCGCCCTTGGCTGGTGAGAACCATCCGCACAGGGCAGCTCTCTGCCCTCTGTGTCCTGCCGACCACCGGCCCTCTGCTCTGTGCCTCCCCACCCCTGGTCTCGAAGGGAAGCGTCAGGTCATTTTGAAGCTGTGACCTGGGCAGGCCTCTGGAGCGGCGCCCTCAAGCTGCTTTCTGGAGCGATACCAACTGCACATCTGCAGCTGAGCTGCCCTGGCACAAAATAAACCCGTTTCCATAACCAGACCGGGATCACCACTCTGCCGCTGCGAAAAGCGTACTGTTCGATCATTATTATTATTCGCTCAAACTCACGAATATGACTTAAGACGACTGAAGGGAACTCTTGACAAAAATCGCCCCCGTGCAGCCTGTGTGCTTCTCTCCCTTTGCTTTCAATGACTTACGAATGTTGGAACTGTGACTGCTCATCAGAGCACCCGGGCCGGCCCTGGCTCCCAGGCCCACGGCGCACCTGCCTGGTCCCCCGGCAGAGCCCTGTGCTCCTGCCCCGAGGAGCTGCACTATGCAAGGACATGGGGCGAGGGGAGGCGCGGGGTGGGGAGCCAAGGAAAGGCCCGGCTTCAGCGGGTCCCAGAGTGGATGGTATTACTCACATGTGTTGGGAAGCGTTGGGGTACAGTTTTGAAAACTGTGGGGCCGAGTCCTCGGGGCCGTGGGGCGCAGCGTGGCTGATCACCATCATAACGGGCCTATGGGGATACATTCTCTTAGACATTTTGAAGTAATTAATGCTCTCGTTAGTGATTAAGTCTGTGAAGTAGTCCTGAAACATACATTTGACACAAAACAAAAATTACAAAAGGTGACATTCATCAGATCACATTTGCATACTGCTTTCTTCAGAAGTAACTCACTGCATGATGAGTGAGGTAAGGCCTCACTCATCCTCACAGGAAGGAAAACTATACTTCCTGTGGCAGCAAAACACCTTCCCCAACAGAGAAAATCAGTTGCCAGTGACTCTCCAGGGCTGCTAGCTTGGTAATATACAAAAAATGTATTTTGAGTAATGCCCAACTTAGCAATTAGGATAGAAAAAAGTCCAGTCCTGTTTGCCCGAGATAATGATCAGATCTGGCAACCGGAATGTTAGAGCACATGAAACACCGGATACATATTTCTTTCTCAGATTTCGTTGATGTAATCCGCTGACAAAAAATTTAATTACTTCAAGGGCAGGAAACACCCACGTCCACTACAAATTCACAGTTGCAGAACACATACACACACACGCGCACACGCACACACACACACAAACCAAAGAAAAGTTCTTTTCCTCAAATTAAAAATTCACCTGTGGGACTTACACAGTCATGGCGAAGGAAAACCTTGGCCAAAAGTTGGGTGCACAGGGAGAAGCTGCAACGTTGCATCAATTAGTTTATTTGAAACACTAAAATTGGGAAGCAGTTGATTTCCTGCACATTATCCTCTGCTAATTGTACAACTAAAATGATACAGCTGTTGGGATTGGAGCCTGATTTGTTAATAAAATGACTTAACCCTCAGTCCTAGGGGCTGATGAGAGTCTGTAAGGAGGAGGGAAGGAACGGATTGAAAAGGAAAGCAAAGATGAACACTTCAGGTAAACCACCCGCTTCTCTAAGGGTGTATCAGTGGCCCCGAGTTCAGCGTAAACTTCAGACAGTGCCCAGGCAACAGTCACGGTGTCGGAAGCGTCCAGCCATGACTAACCACTTGTAGATTGAAGGGCCAGACCAGCTGCAAAAGCAGTGCCCAAGGGACAAAATCCGTGTCACGTGTCATTGTTAGGACGAGCCCACGGGCTATCACCTTCTCCCACGGGAGTGCCTGTTTCATTCCTCCCCTCGCTGAAGGAGGAGGCGACACAGCTCTCTTTGACACTGAATCAGCTGTGAGAAGGGGCACGTTACGCTGATTTGGGCTTCGGAGGGAATCTGGATTACTTGTCTCTCCTTAGGACAGCAGCAGGGAGACAAAGGTTAATGGCTTGACCAGGAGCATGAAAAGCATCCCCCACGGATAAAAAACGATAGCAGTGACAATTAATGGACTTTGTAGGCCTGTTGCTCAAATCTGCCTCCAAGGTCCCTAGACCCAGCTCTCAACTTTGATGAATCTGAAAACCTATTAGCAATGTCTGTGAATTCATTTGCATTCATTGTTTTCTGAAAGAACAAGACTTAATGCCTGATCTCCCACCAGGCCCCCTGTGCGCAAACCAGGCCAAGCAACAAGACAGCAGCGTGCCAAAATGAACGAGTTTCCACTTTCTGATTTCTACCAATGGCTCTTTCCGAGTCATCTGTGCCAGACAGAGAAGTTTCTCGGCTTCTTTTAGAGAGAAATGAGGAAGAGAGGGTATTTTAGGCTAATCTGAGACTAAATTCAAAGGTATTTCCCCTTTCACTCCTGTGATCTGAAAGCTGTTTTATTTACGCTGGCAATCACAGAAGCTTTGTGAATCTTAAAATCTAATCTAGGACCCATTGGTTAGAGAGCCGTGGGCATGCCAATTTCAGTTTCTATGAATTGATTTGGAAATCATAGGATTGATAGCCTTAGAGACATTTGTGGACCCTGGCTGCCATGGGAGCAGGTGTCCTTGTCAGACATCTAAGCTTGATCAGACAGGAGGTAAAGCAAGGAGTGTCGTTTCTCGATCTTTGATTAATCCAGTTGTCTGCTCTTATTACATCTAAATCAGAAGACAAAATAGACTTTCATCCAGTGAAAAGCACAACAGTACGAGATGAACATCTGATTATGTGGACAACTTCTTTCGGGGGGTGGGACGGAAACCAAAAATTATCACAGGACCGAGTGGATGCATCGATGATTTTTTTGATGATACTTTCATCAGAGGCTGATTGCTTTGTATTTTAATGAGGTAGGGGGAAATCACTGTATAAAGTCAATGCTTGTAGAGAATCTTTTCTTGCCTGGAGTTTAAAATTACCTTAAAATTTCTCATTGTAACTCTGTGAGAACATAGAAAGCCAATCTTGAAAATAGGTTAACTCACTGAAAATGGCTGTTGCCCATTATGCACAAAGTAAATTGATGCAGTGTAAAGGGCTTGAAAATTACCTTTGCATAATCAAATCCGTGCTTTTCTTTGATGCCGTTGCGACAAACAGTGTAATTATAGAAACGAGAATTCTTGATTAATCCAAGCCATTCTCGCCACCCAGGAGGGATGTAGCTGCCATTATACTCATTGAGGTATTTTCCAAAAAAGGCTGCAATGGAAAAAAAGGGATTATTTTCTCATATAAAATGATTAATCATAAATAAATGCATAAGTCCATTAATATAAAATGATGCCTTAAAAAGGAAACAGCAAAACAAAAGTTAGCCTAGGTAACAGTGGATGCCAAAATAACGTCAATGTAATACTCCGATCCTTTGGCAAGGTGACATACACACGTCTTCCTTTTCAATAAATAAAAGGAGCCCCAAGCACATGGATAATCATTCAATAAAATCGCCGTGACGACCGTGGCACACTGGGAGCAGCTATTCTTGTGGTTCTGCTGGGGATCCCAGCAGAATGTACCCCTTTGTTGAGTTGATGTAACGATCAGAGAAATAGCCAGGGTGAGATTTGGAGCGCCACCCCAGGCACATGTCAGGGAATTGGAAGCTCAGTCTTTGTGATAAAGTTTTCTAATGCACTGTGGGAGAGTTGAGAATTATAGAAACACTACTAAAAAACTTGTCTTTGTTTTGCATATCCAGAGGGCACACATTTTCTAAACCGAGGGACCACGGTACACTGTTTCTATGGGACCTGGTCAGGGTTCTTATGTCACATGTATTTTATGGCATTTGTGTTTCCACTATGTGTATTTTATGAATGTGTATGTCTAACTTGATAATCAAAACTGGCAACACGATAATCAAAACTGGCAACACGGAGTTACTACACAGATAACCCATTTTCACAGAATTGTAGTATAATAGAGGTACATGCACCACGAACACCCCGCCGTCATTGAGAAAGTCGCTAGAAAGACTTCGCATTTCTACCTTCGGCAAAGAAAGGCCACTGTGCAGCAAGGCTCACTGATCCTTTCAGAGAGGGAATCGTGACTTTGGTCCTCTGGCAAAGATGACGTTAGGACAGGGGCTGAGGGGGGAGTCGGGCGGGTTGGGGTTTCAGGAACAAAATGGGTTCAATCTTGAAGCAGGATACATTCTGAGTATCAGAAGGGTGGCCATACATGTATGGTTGGCACGCTTTTGAGAGAGAGGGTGCTATTTGCAATCATTGTAATTACGCCACAAAAATAGGTTTGGTAAGCACCGTTCTGGGTAAGCCTAAATGTCTGATCATCCCATCAGACACACACACAGCCTTCCCCTCAAGTATGAAGGGCCAGAGAACATTTCATCTACATATGTATACACGGGCATACATGTGGGTGTAGGTATACATGGATGTGTACACACACAGACCTATATCTATACACACATACACACGCATGCACACAAGTTTTAATTTTTCAGTTTTTTAAAAGGTGGTCGTCTTTAATTTAGAGAGAGACCATGTTCTCTGCTTTCCACGTCCGAACTGTTTCCTGGCTTCATTAAATAGGTTTTAGAGGTGCCTACGCTTCCAGGCAGTTCCTATCTGTATGGAAATAAATGTTCGCAAATGGAGCATCTGGCCACTATGCTCCCTTTCTCTGATCACGTGACACCCCTCACGCCTGCCCATAGTCTCCCGCTGGCTTTCTCAGCCAGGCTCCAGGGTCTTTCACTCTCACTGCCACCTTCCTGAAGACCGGCTCTGGTCACGTCACCCTCTTCTCACAATCTAGATGGATCCTTGGCACCTGCATGATCAAGCTTAATTTGAGAGCGTGCCATCCCCAGCCTACCTTGGGTCTGAACAAAATCCCTCTCTTTCCAACCCCATCTCGCATTTCTCGGTTAACTGTCCCTCTCTCCGACGCTGTGTGCTTTGGTTCCCACCTCTGTACCTCTGCCCGTGCTGCTTCTCCGTCTGACCCTTGGGCCAGAGCACGTGCCATTTCGTTCCCAGCCTTTGCCACAATCCCATAGCATCTGGTGTCTGCGGCTCTACTGCCATCATCCCTTTCTTCCTTGTGGTGTAGTCCTGTTCGATTGTAAGGCTTCTGAGGGCAGACATTGCCTTTGCCTCGTATCTGTACATCCCTGCACGTAATAAAGGGGCTCCATAATTTTCGTTTTTCAAACTGGGGTTCAGGGACCCCCATGTGTTCTGGGGATTCTACAGATTCTAGACTTATGAAATTTTGTGTTTTTGCTTGAATTATAATTGTGCAAAGCTGATTTGGTCTAAATATTTTCAGAGCTTCAGAGTTTCTTGGAAGAACTGACTCAAGCCTGAAGAACATGACAATGATGTTTACTTATTTGTTGAATTTATCTGTTCAATCTGTGAATGAGTGAATCAATCATGTGGTGACTTAGCCAAATGCCCACTGCTTGAGGGTTCTGCCAGGAACCCCAGGGTAGACGGACGGGCGTAGAACAAAGTGTCAGAGGCTCTCACGTCAGATATGACTCAGGATTTTCCTCCGAGCTGACTACGTGCAGTAGGAATTCTTGTCTTTGGAGACTAACCACCTTTCCACACAGACCGCAACCTGATTATCCTCTTCCGACAAAGGGATAATAACATGACTTGGAGTCACAGGCAGCTGACCAAGACCACACCCCACCAGTGATGCTTCACAAGGGGACCGTTTCCAGGAACTGGCTACTTAAAATCCTATCTGTATGGAAATAAATGTTCGCAAATGGAGCATCTGGCCACTATGCTCCCTTTCTCTGATCACGTGACACCCCTCACGCCTGCCCATAGTCTCCCGCTGGCTTTCTCAGCCAGGCTCCAGGGTCTTTCACTCTCACTGCCACCTTCCTGAAGACCGGCTCTGGTCACGTCACCCTCTTCTCACAATCTAGATGGATCCTTGTCACCTGCATGATCAAGCTTAATTTGAGAGCGTGCCATCCCCAGCCTACCTTGGGTCTGAACAAAATCCCTCTCTTTCCAACCCCATCTCGCATTTCTCGGTTAACTGTCCCTCTCTCCGACGCTGTGTGCTTTGGTTCCCACCTCTGTACCTCTGCCCGTGCTGCTTCTCCGTCTGACCCTTGGGCCAGAGCACGTGCCATTTCGTTCCCAGCCTTTGCCACAATCCCATAGCATCTGGTGTCTGCGGCTCTACTGCCATCATCCCTTTCTTCCTTGTGGTGTAGTCCTGTTCGATTGTAAGGCTTCTGAGGGCAGACATTGCCTTTGCCTCGTATCTGTACATCCCTGCACGTAATAAAGGGGCTCCATAATTTTCGTTTTTCAAACTGGGGTTCAGGGACCCCCATGTGTTCTGGGGATTCTACAGATTCTAGACTTATGAAATTTTGTGTTTTTGCTTGAATTATAATTGTGCAAAGCTGATTTGGTCTAAATATTTTCAGAGCTTCAGAGTTTCTTGGAAGAACTGACTCAAGCCTGAAGAACATGACAATGATGTTTACTTATTTGTTGAATTTATCTGTTCAATCTGTGAATGAGTGAATCAATCATGTGGTGACTTAGCCAAATGCCCACTGCTTGAGGGTTCTGCCAGGAACCCCAGGGTAGACGGACGGGCGTAGAACAAAGTGTCAGAGGCTCTCACGTCAGATATGACTCAGGATTTTCCTCCGAGCTGACTACGTGCAGTAGGAATTCTTGTCTTTGGAGACTAACCACCTTTCCACACAGACCGCAACCTGATTATCCTCTTCCGACAAAGGGATAATAACATGACTTGGAGTCACAGGCAGCTGACCAAGACCACACCCCACCAGTGATGCTTCACAAGGGGACCGTTTCCAGGAACTGGCTACTTAAAAACCTCAGCACCGCTCTTTCCCCTGGCCTGCTTCTCAACCCTAGGAGTTTATTCCATCTTTCTCTCCTTTTGTTTTCAAAGCAGTAAAACAGCACAGTGGCTTGGAATATAAACCTCGGAGCCAGCCTGCTTGGGTTCCAATCCTGGCTTGCTCCTTGGAAGCAATGTGCCCACAGGCAAGTTACCTGACAATTCCCTCTCTGGGCAACCAAGAAGGTGATCATAAGGATGGTGGCAGGATCGTTGTCAGGATGAAAAGAGCTCGTACATGGGCAACGTGCTAAACGCGGCGCTTGGCACACGACGAGGGCTTTCTAAGCGCCGCTACTGCGAGTGCTCGTCTTAGCATCGCTGCCCTTGCAACTCTGTGTTGATTTTAAATAATTTACCATTCCGCCGTGCAAAGAAATCTCGCCCTAGAGTCCTCCACGTGCGCGCTGACACATTTCTTGAGAGGTTACATATTTTTCTTTCCCAATCCGACGTATTTTGTGGCAACAATTTGTCTCCCGTGTTCCCGCTTGATTAGTTTTAAAAGATTTCCTACGACTTTTAGTTTTATTGACTTTTTTTGCTGGTTTTTTTTTTCCCTCTCAGAGAAGCCATGCCAAGTCACTCCTGCCCTCCCCTCGCGGTCTTACTCGTTCGGTTATTTTGTACTGTTTTCTACCCATTGCCATGGCTGTTCCCTCTCCTTTACCCTCCTCGTCTAAACCATCTCTGCGAGTCTCTTAACCGTGCTCGTTACATCAGAACTCCCCAGGTTTTCGGTGTCTTTGGGCTCACGGAGTGTAAAAGCGTACTCAGTATCCTAGATGTGTCCTCACCCGACACATTTGTTCCAAGGGAGTCCTGGACCTCGTGTGTCACCATGCAGCACCCCAGTGCTGGTGGCTTCGAGTGACTGGCCTTTCTTGTTGCCTGCTGACATTGAGACTCATTTGTAATCACTCCTCCTGGCCTCTTTCAATGTTACGCTTCCTGGCAGCGCTCTGCAATGGATTATCTGGGTTTCTAATTATTTTCCTCCAGATATATGAAATCTCTTTCTCCCTCTCTAAGGTGAATTTCGTTTTTCTTGCCCGTTTTGCCATTACAGTATGTGTAGTTTGAAGTTTTTCTCTCTTTTGGCCCTGGCAATTCAATACACCTTATTGCTATGCTATCTGAATGTATCACTAACATGCCATCGACCCGTCCTTCCATCTCATTTTCTTCTCTGGGACTCCACTAAACACGTCCCTTCACAGATGTTTAACAAGGTGGGAAGGGGGTTAAGAGACAGCGGGAAAGATCAGAAAGACTTGATTATCATTAGTTTTGACTTTGGGTCATGTTACTCTGTCCAGGACTATCCATCCCCGTAATACGTAGAAAAATTTCCTTGAACCGTCTGAAGCAAAGGCACTTATTTTTAAATTAGCAAGAGTAACTATACACAAGATTTGTGATGCCACGGAGAAGTTAAATCTTATTTAATATAACAAATGATATGCTGAGCTTTTACTTTATGTAATGGACAGATTTAGGTCGCAGGATTTCGCTGGTAGTAACTAAAAATATACAAATTTTGAACCGAGTTAAAATTATGACTTACTCTTATGTCAATGTATATACATGAGTCTGTTTTCCACAATTAGATTGTAAGTCTGATGAAGACAGGCATCTTATTTTAACTCTTCACATCCCAGTGTCTAGTGTAGTTCTGAGCCTACACTAGTGTGGTTCAATAACTAGCATACTGTGGTATGCTATGTCTTCTGTTCATGTGCTTACCAAAAACCTACGATGCCATAACTAATCAAAGCAATATTAGCTTGCTTTACTATATAAGAACTCTACATTTAAAAAATCCCATATTAGAGAATATATTTGCTATAAGTAACAAAAATTTTGTAATGTAAAAAGACATGAAATTAGAAACTTGATTAATTTGTCTAAATTATTTTGTTAGAAAAAGAGCGGATCTCTATTAAATATTGCCCTTTCTACTCCAGTGACATGAAGTAGAATTTTAGTAAGATTTAATTCACATGCTGTATCATGTGTCATGTGTTCTGATTATAATTTGAACACTACAATTTTTAAATAAATCAACATAGTATTTACAGTGATTATAATAAAATTACTGTATAATTTTGGACAGGAAAAACACTTAGGAATCATTCTAGTCCAATCTCTGCATTATAAAGGCTGGAAAACTGGCCTGTACAAATTCTCAAAACAAATTAAAGGCAGAGCTAGGATGTGACTCTAGATCTCCTCAGTTTTCATTCAGGATTTTTGCTAACATTGACACTACAGCTCAAACTTGGATTATTACTTTTACCTTAAAAGTTACGCTAGGTTTTATATTCATACCCATACCCTTAGAAGAAATTAAACTAAAAAAATTTTGAGCATATAGTCAGGCAGGAAATTCATTTTTATGATAGATAATCCAATGTCATTCCCAGTTCACTTGTCAGAACATAAAATGCAATAGACATGTTACTGTATTTTCCCCTTTTCAAACATTTAAGCTGCTGTACAGTCATATTTTCCATGAGTAAATTTAGAAAAATTTAGGCTATAGCCAGTCCAAAAATGCCTCAGTTCTGAAAGAGAAAAATCATGTCATACAATGGTAAATATAATATTGGAACAATTTGATTCATTTAAATCCATGTATTCTGGATGTCTTCCAAAATAAACCACTTAGTAATTTATCTTCTCTGAGCTGTTCTTCATAAATCTGATTGCTGCCTTTTGCTTTTTTCTCAATGGATATTTATGTACAATACATATTTAGCTTCTTTTACTATTTTTCTTAGGTTCTCGGCTAAGTGTTCTAAATAACGTGTTCATTTTTAGAAAAACAACAAAATCTCTATGAGTTGGCTCTTTTCCAACTAGTCTTGTGGCTCATATATAATTATGCTGGTTTAATACCTACTCACCAACTCTCTTAATTTCCTGTCATCTTGATGTGTTTATTTGTCTATTTTCAAATGTGTCACTGTCCCTGTTTAGATCAATAATTATTATCACGAAGAAATCTTTACTTTCAAATTGTCTCAGACACTTTAATACTTTCTCGTCAAAGATAAATTTAAGCTCAGTTGATCTTTGTCAGGCCACTCTAGTCTTCCATTTGTAATTTTTCTGATTTACTAATGGGCACATTGACATTTGTTTTCCTAACTAAGTATTTGGAAAGGCCTTCGTTTCCTTTAAAAATATTCTTGTTATTTTGTAAGATGACTCACCATAAATTCCATTATTACCTAAGTATCTAGACCCCTGGGGAGAAGGCTGGCTTCAGAATCAGTCTTAGTTTCCAGGAACAAATTTCCTTTCCCTAGAGAAGACAACTGACCGAAGCAGGCCCACTGGGCTGCGTGAAAAGACAGAAACTTGTCACTGGAGAAGCCTTACGACGTGCAATTTCATCCTAGACCTAACACATAAGGTTAGAGAGCATCCTGGAAACAGCCTCCAGATCAAGATGCTGACGCCTATCCTTCCCATTAGAATATCAAATGTGTCACTTTAAGTCACCTTAACCTTGTGAGTCTAAGTTTGCTCATCTGAAAATAAGGGGATTGAATTAAATTATCTCTGAGTTTTATTCAGGCTCTTGTAATCCACTGCAGGGTGGAACAGCCTGGCATAACTGAAACAAGTATCAGAACATACTGTGTTTCTTAGAAGCGACTAAGTTGTTTTTACCTCAGTGACCCAGTATATTTTGTCATGGATGGTGTTGCAATTTTTGCCTTTGCCATCTGGAAACTTATCTCCAAATATGCAGCTTTTCTCTTCAAGTCCATGGCATGCAGCTCGCATACCAACCTTTGCCTTGACTTTAATTAGTTCTCCCCTTGATTTCCATTTGCCAGAGTCCTGACTGCTCTGTATCCTAGTATGTTTTATGTGTCTCTGTGAGGTCGTTTGGAGTGAGGCATGATGGAAACACATGGAAAGAAATAAGACAATGGGAACAGAAAAGACTGAGTCAGATGTACTGGATTCGTTCTAGCCCTGACCAGCTCGTGTTCTTGGTCAAATAACTCTGAGTCGCGCTGTTTCTTCACTGGTAACATGGGCAAATTCTTTCTTTCAAGATTACTGTGAGAATTAGGTGAGACAACTCAGCTAAAATGCCTGGCATAGGGTAGCTAATTCCTTTCTTTTACCCCTTTCTTTCTACCCTCCCCCCAGCTTTACGGACATATAATCAACAATCAAAAATAGTATATATTTAAGGTATACAACCTGATTGCCTGATATACATAAACACTGTGAAATATTCACCGCCTCCAAGCCAACCAACATATCCATCATCTCATATCTTTATCATTTTCCTTTTATTCCCTTTTGTGGCGAGAACACCAAAGATCTATCCTCTTAGCAAATTTCAAGTATGAACACAACACCGTCAACTATAGTCACACTGCCATGTACCTTGTCTCCGGGACGTGTTCATCTTCTTCCCCCCTTTCTTGGTTCAGTCCCGAAACAAATGAGCAAACCCTGTCTGACTGTTCTCAGTCCTGGCGGGGCTGGTTCTCTGTGTCTCTCCATATCTGGATATCACGCTGGATATGGTGAGAGCCCCGACCCTTCCAGCTGTGTATCTGCTGCTATGGATTAAATTACAGGGAGCCTGGGAGTTGAAAGGCACTGACCTCTCACAATGCTTTCCATGAACAAAACACAATTGGGGTCAAAATCAGGAACCAGGCATTAGGGGACCGTTTCTGATTTTGCTTCTGAGTTGGTCACACAATATTTGAAATCCCCACCTCAGTTATAAAATGAAGCCAAGTACATTTGCTGTCTATGAACCCTACGGGGATGTTTGATGGATTTGCAGATTGCTTCGGAGCTCTCAGATGAAAAGGGCTGTAAATCTAAATCACTTATGTGAGAAAACACACTCAGAATAAGGCACTCTGAGGAGCCTAACTTCTTTTCTGAGCATAAGCAAACACCCCTGAGACTCACAAGAGGGGCTTCCTCTGTGGGGGCGGATCTTGAGAAGCCTGTAATGACAACACAGTCATATTCACGATGAATATTCTCACCCATAAATAACAAGTATTAGGTGCCCATGGAGTATTCTGCAAAGAAGCAAATGGCCACATATTTCCTGAGTCCAGTGGTAAAGATTAATTCCGTTTTTAAAAGAGATTTAAGAGAATACGTTGATCAGAAATCCTTTACTTTTAAACCTTCAGAAGAGAGAATTTGTAAAGTCATTCCCAACAAGCTTTAACGATGATATCATTAATTCATAGGCATAAGTCTGGGTGGTTCCGAAAAAAACTTTTGCACTGTAGCCCTGGTAGCAACAGCCTTGTTTTCTTTCATGAAGAAATGCTGGGGAAACCCACGAAGAGCATCTAAATGTTGGGAGAATAAAAGCCTTGGGGGTGGGGGTGGGGGGCGTGGGAGGGGCAACTTTAGTAAAAGGAGCCTTGCTTCTTTCTTAGAAAGACTGGCATCATTTTCACGACCTCTCCTGAGAGAGGACCCCAATTTTCAAAAGACCAACTAACCCACACCTCCCCCTTGCCCTGTATAAGTTAAGCAATAGTAAGAGATGTAGCAATTACCTTCCTGCCCTGAAAGATGGAGGTGAACATTCGAGGCCTGAAAATGACCACAACTTAACCTAAAGAAACTCCAAATTCTATGAATTCTGGATGAATAAATAAATCACTGGTTTGTTGATTCAGTTATTTATGAATCCAATAAAGAATTGTGACCATTTACTGTGTCCTGGACCCTGGAGGAGACACTGAGCAGTTTCAAAACCCTTGATGATTTCTCACTGAAACGATCGGCGGGATTTACCGAGACCTGGGACAAGCTTCAAGCCGTGCCACGATCACTTGAGAATCGGGAGCTTCAGGTAAGCAGGTAAACACTATGAAAACCCATCTGCTGTACGTTCTCCTGAAAAATCTCAGTTGCTGGCTACTCTGATAGATATGACGCTTTCATAACGCATCCACTGAGGATCATTCTGACTTTTCTCTAAGAGATCTCTCATGGGTACATCCTTCGGAGTCAAAAAGTAGGGGATGGGGAGGACACAGATACGGAAGAGAAAAGCCTAGAATACCTCCAATTTAGAGACTTACTGGAACTTCGTATACTTCATCACGCACCACATTTCCCTGTGTCTGAGTTGTGCCGTCAAAGGTTCGTGGGCCAGAAAGTTCACCCATTACCTGTTCTGTAGCCAGTGTTGTTGAGATACACAGCGAAGGTGCGGGGCTCGTGCATGGCCTGCCACGAGGACGAGGAGCAGTTCTCGTTGTTGGTGTACACGTTGTGGTTGTGCACGTACTTCCCCGTGAGCATGGAGGACCTGGACGGGCAGCACATGGGCGTGGTCACGAAGGCGTTGCTGAAGGTCGCCCCGCCATGCTCCATGATCTTTCTTGTCTTGTTCATGACTTGCAGGGACCCTGAAAGGCACAAGTCCCGTGTGGTTTAGCAGGGTGCCCCCCGCACGAGCACTTGTTTACGTCTTGTCACTCAGTGGCTCCATTCCCTGAATTTATTAATTTCCTTCCCTTGGCCTGAAGGAGTCTATAATTCGACCAGCTCTCATTTCCAGAACAAAATCAAAGATTTGGGATCCTACCATCTCAAGTGTCTCGCAGAATAATAAACACATTTCAGCTTTTCCCCTCCTTCATGGCAAAGGAAAAAAAAAAAATGCAGGCTAATCTGATAATTAAAGCTAGAATTCTAGATATGGAGCAGATTCAAAGGCCAGCCGCCCTTTGAAGATTACCAGAGAACAATAGCCTATTACAGAGAGCATGAACCCCTGGCCCACCACACACGCACACAGCTAGCGACATTGCAGGGATGACTATAGTGTTTTAATCATACGAAACAGAAGAGTAAAAGAATTTTTCTTATTAAGTAGAAGTTCCTCTAAGATGCCTGTATTTAATTAAAAAAAGAAAAAAGGATCCTCAGTGTAACTTGGTATCCTCTAGGAAACTCACCAAATGCCTGCCAGCTTTTCTATGAGGATGGCACTACTAGTTTATATTTTCATCTGTTTATATGTAATTTGAAAAGACAGGTTATTTGCTCATGAAAGAGCTATGATTCTATTGCAGTCGAGAAATATTTGCATAGTACTAAAATATTCCATTTTAACTGTAAAAGATGAAATTGTAACATAAGATCGCTGAGGGAAAAAAAAATTCTATTTCGATTACTCTATCCAACCAAACACTGCAGCTGAAACACATCCAAACACTGCAGAAAAAAAGCACAGGCCAGAATTCAATAGTCTTTTCAGGACTTGTCAAGAAATGCACTACAGAACGCTACAGCCAAGCCCATTGCATTTGAATCCTGGAGCCTCACATTTCCAACAGGTCCCACTTCTTCCAGAGAAAGTCTGTGTAGTTTTCCAGCAAGGAAGGAAATCGTGATGCAAACCAGGCAAGCATTCAGAGCAGAAGAGAAGCCTGCCACCATCCAAAAAGCCACAGTGAGCCTGATTTTTTCACGTATTAGCTTTTACTGCTCATGGGAAACATATGAAAGCAGGAGGAGAGTTTCTAATTGGGTCTCATGAAATCTCCCTAAAATATGCTTTACTTAGGAAGACTCCTGACCTCTTTTTCTTCTCTGGATGTGCTCAGGGGACCAAGCGACCTTTTGGTGATCATTGAATAGCATGTCATGAGCACCCGTTTCATGCCAGACAATCTATCAACCTTGAACTCTGGGCCGGTCCCCAAGTGTTGCATCGACAAAGCAAATGGAAAATTCTCTGCTGCCTCTGGTCTTCAATAGTCAGCTACTTAGAAGAGAACCCACATATAAAGATCCCTTTGGGACATCCGCAAAGCGACATACACATAACGGTGCGGATACAGCAGTAGCAGCGCATCTGAGGATAGAGGGGACCCGGAGCGAATGTCTAATAAGAGGTGAGGACAAATGGAAGGAGAGAAGGAAGGAAAATATCGACTGGGTGAAGTGGATTGTTGGGAGGATGAGGAGGATGCTAAGTAAGTGATGAGTACAGCACATCGATTTTCTGGAATTGAAAAGAATATGGAGAATTCTCTTGAAGTGTGTGAGGCAGAGTTAGCAAAGAGCTGGGAAGCTGAGTAGAGATATCGGGTTGGATGGAATAGACAAAATGAAGGCAGAGTAGGTTCTTTGTCAAAGACATGAATGGCATGGTAAGAAAAAGTCTTCAAGACGTGTTGCTATGGCAACGTGGCGATGCGGGTATATGCAGAGGAGAGAATGGGCTGGTCCATCAAGAGAACAGCCAAGAAGTCTCTGAAGCCATCGGGCCATGAGGTGATAAGAACCTGAACCAGATTGTGTCTCTAAAATAGAGCGGCCCTAAGAAACACATCCAAGAGACTTTGTAATGCATCAGAAGGCTATGAGCTGACTAATAGCTCAAAGGTTTCAGCATGGAAAGAAAACTGGAAAAGTAATTGTTTCGCCGTTGGTCTAAAAATAACTAAAAGAAAATGTGCCCTATAGAAGAACACAAAAATCCATTTTAGAAATGTTGCATTTCATATTTGTGTTGGTTCACCATATGGGGGAAACATCCTGGAGACAAATAGATGAGTAGGGTCGTGGGCGTGGGGAGAGAGATGTTGAAGTCGACTCCTCTTTAAGTCTCTGCAGTGCTTACTCATTGTAATATCCTGACTTTTGGAAAAATTCAGCAAACACTAGTGATAGATTTTCATTGCCTAAGAATCTTTTCATCTCAAAGAATGAGCTTTCAGAGCTTCCTTTATAAGCCTAGCTAAACTCAAATTTAAAAAAGCAGTGTGCAGCCCGAAGCCATCCTCCGAGGTCCTGAATCACAAAGCTACAATCTCCTGTTTACAGACTTATTTGAACCGCGCATACGGGACGGTAGGTGGAAATCTGATCTCAAGTTAAATAACATAAAAATGGGCTAAAATTTAGCCCAATTAATAATCTCTGGAATTGTCCCAGCCAAACTCTTCCCCTGTTCCAAGTATCACTCTTTTCTTAATTAACCGAGCTGCGCTGAGGTCCTCAGCAATCCCTGCCAACGCTGTGCTTCCAACCAGTCCCCACGTCAAAGGGATGGATGAAGACGTTTGGTCCCCACTGTCACCGCGAACGCTGCAGCTCCACCACTGGGGGTTCCAAAAGTGCACATCTGGCTCGAAGTTTCTCGGTAAAGGAGAGATTCTAGGACAATCCTTTCTCATCTTTAAAAACCACCCAGAGAGCACGTTAATGCACAGAAGGCTGGGCCCACCCAAGACACCGACACTGACTTAACAAGATTGGGGAGGGCTCACGAATTTGCATGTCTAACAAGCTCCCTGAACATGGACCACACCCGGAGGAGTATTTTAGGTTGGACACCGAATCAGGGACGCCTAGAGTGGGAAGAGACTTTATGACTGCCTTGTTCTAAGTGACCTAAGCGGCTTAGACCGCTTCCGAGGCTATAAGATGCTGGAGATGGGAAAAGGAGACAGTCATTTCATACTTATTTTCGGGTTCTGTTCTGAGTGCTCCACAGACATCAACTCATCGAATCCTGACACTAACGCTTTGCAGTGGGTGCTATTATTTATTATTCCCATTTTATGGATGATAAAACTGATGTGCAGAGGGCTAAACAACACCCCTAGGGTCACACAAATCCTACACGGCAGAGCCCAGAGGCAGTGTAGGCAGCCTGCTCCAGAGACCATCTCTTAAGCTTCATCTAGGCTGAGCATTGGCTGTGATATTGATGTTTTCAAGACTTAAAAACAGAAATGATGTCTGCTTGCAGTCAAAATATGCCTCACTTTCTGTGGTGTCATATTTTGCTTCATCAGGCCTCCCAAGGGAGATACTAACAGACACTAACGCCTGCCTCCTGCCCTCCAAAGGGCTGAAACGATCTTGGTAGCTTAGGGCCAGGTGAAGGGTGAGTGGGCTACAGATGCGTCTGTGTTCAGCAGCTGACAGCCACATTGGTGTTACACGCTGCCTCTGATCTTGGCTAGATGCAGACGATGGAATGCAAGAAGCATACCTGTTCCCTCTGCTGAGTTAGTATGCACCAGCGACGTAAGCCCAAAGCACCTTCTTCTTCTTTATGGCTGTGCAATGATTAATGTTGGTCAATAGTGCTGCCTTGTGCTGAATCTGTTTCCATGTGATTGCACCATTGATTTTTTCATTGGGAAACTCAACCAAACTTTTCTGTAATAAAACCCATTATTATGCATTTATGGCTGTTGAGAGGAGTGGATGGGACAATCTCTTGTTCTGTCATTGGAAGGGCAATTATGTCCTTTTGTTTCAAGCTGAGGCACCTCGCCTCTCTGGATTTCAGGGCTTTGGTGCCTAAAATGCCAATCGTGCTGGTCTTAGTTATTAGAACAATTATTTCCTAGGAATGATATGCAGCTTAAGATTGAAGACTCAGAGCAATATTCCCATGGCAGGGCATAGGAGGATAAGAGTGAGCAGAGAAAGAATCCTAGACTTGAATTTGTGGGGAAACATCTGGAGTTTGCCACAGATTGGCTTGAGCACGTCATTTACCCTCTTTTGGTTCATGCTTCTCACCTGTAAAATGAAGCCAATAACAGCTCACCTGCCTAGATCACAGGACTGTCGAGGAGCCAATGGCACGGGGCGGCGATTTTACCGTGTGCTCACCCCAAACCCGCCACATTCAGCTCCCCCTGCCCTTTCCATCTCCCTCTCTGTAATCTACATCTCAATTCCAAGAGCTGCAATGAAAGTAGAGAGGTTACCATAGACTGAATGTGTTCTGGAAAATTCATATGGCGAAACTCAAGATCCCATGTGTTAGTATCAGGAGGCGGGGCTTATGGGAGGTGATTAGGTCATGTGGGCGTGGCCCTCATGAACGGGATGATAAAAGAGACCCCAGAGAGCTCCCTGTCCCCTTCCACCATCTGGGGACCGTGAAAAGACAGCTATCTATGAAGCAGGAAAGTGGTCTTCGCCTGACACCAGATCTGTTGGCACCCTGATCCTGGATTTCCCAGCTTCCAGAATTGTGAGGAATAAATGTATGTTGTTTAGAAGCCACTAAGCCGACCAGTCTATGTAGGGTATCTTGTTATAGCAGCCTGAATGGACTAAGACAGAGGTCAACTACCTTTTCTATTCTTTAAGACTGAAAATGTTAATGCTGGCTTGCAGTTAAAAGTATCAGTTCTCTACACAAACTGCCCACCTCCTGAAGCAAGATGCCTGACTTCGTTACAATTGAAAGTTGTCCTGTGAGGTGGAGGCCTGACAGGGATGCTATGAAGCGACTGTGACTAGGCCCAGCGGCTGGCGTGGGGACCCTGCTGGCTGGGTTGGTTTGAGGACAGGGAAGGTCCAGGCCACAGCTGAGTCCTAGGACTGCCAAGAAAAGCTGTTCCAGTGCCAAAGTTCCAGATTGGGACTGGGGACGTCTGCCATTGCTCCTGCAGGGGTGGGGAGGCTGTGACAACACCAAGCTGTGGACAGGGATGCTGTCAGGTCAGCGGTGGCGGGAGGGGAGCTGTGGCACTCTTTGGGAATCCCGCAGGATCCACTAGGTTTGCAAGGTGGTGGAGCTGAAAATCTAGGCTTCAGGAAGAGGGCTCTGGATGGAGTATGTAACAGGTTCTTGGGGCTGACACAACCGTGGCCAGGAATTTCAACCGTTCTACCCACTCCAACTTATCTATTCCCAAGTCGTCTGCGCAAAAAGGTCGGGAGAAAGAAAATGTCCCACTAATCTGAATGACTTTACCAAAATCACATAGAGAGCTTGAATTACTTTTCTACATGTTAAACTTTATGGCAAAACTTTACTATTCCTGATTCGAATATCTTAGCATTTGATTATCCAATATTTTATCCCAGCAAACATTAAAATTTTTATCAAGCCTATTTATCATGTCCAGGAAAACTCATAAAACCCAAAATTCAATAATAACTATTGTCATCACCATCCCTTCGGGAAATCCCGAGCATATGGGATTCATATACACCTGGCTTTCTAGAGAGACACACCCCCACGTGGATTACAGTGGTTCATGTTTTGATGAGTGACAACAAGCACACTCAACCCTTATTAACTGTGCAGGGCAAATGTTTCTAGATGGCATTGTCTCACGACGAAGTAAAGTTAAGGTTTTAACTATATAAATGGTCATTACCGAATACATCACTGCTATCTTCCCAGGTGCCAACTGTCAAGCATGAAATCTGAAACAGTGACATTTCCCATATTGAAAATGGCTCTAGCGGTCTATCGGATATCGTAATTCTGCAAACGTAAGACAGAAAAATAACATGATAAAACAGTATGCCTTCTTCCACCCAAACTGTGGGACTGGGAGGAAAAAAACAGATGTTTCAGCTAAAGCCATCAGAAGAGAAGAAAAACAAGTTGGGAGAAGAAGGGACCAAGAAGCAGATAATAAATCTGTCTGGACTGTTTCCAGGCCACTAGGACTCATTATATTTTTCCCTCAAAGGGCAAAAGGCCATTAAAAAATGGAGACTAGTTTCTTAGGGGACTGGAAATTAAATGCCTACAGAGCTAGAGCGAGAAGGTAAGCAAGCGAAGGCAGCCAGGTGTATAAGAAAAATCACAGGGCTTTTGTCTTCTCAGATTTTTCACATTTGGTTGGAGGCTGCATAGAACTCTTCTCTGACTAAGAATAAAAACACAGTCTGGGCACGATGATTTAAATAGCAGCTGCTCCTTGGCCTAAATGGAGATCAATGGAGAGGGGTGGGGACCGTGACGACCTAGTCAAAATTGCCTGAAGTATTACAGGTGCCAAAAGTTTTGCTTAGGTAAATATTTATCCAAGCGCTTGGATGTAAGCAAACAAAATAAAACCCAACCCTATCGAAAACACAATGAGCTACCACTCCACACCCATTAGGATGGCTGTTATCCAAAAAATAGAAGTAACAAGTGATGGCAAGGATGTGGAGAAATTGGAACCCTTGTGCACTGTTAGTGAGAATGTAAAATGATACAGTTGTTATGGAAAAGTCTGGTGGTTCCCCCCAAAATTAAAAGTAGAATTATCAAATTGTCCAGCAACTTCACTTCTGGATGTTTACCCCAAAGAATTGAAAGCAGGGTCTCAAAGAGATATTTATAAACCTATGTTCATAGTAGCAATAGTCACAAAGTGGAAGCATCTCAAATTTCTATCAACGGACGATGGACAAACAACATGTGGTATATACATACAATGGAATAGTATTTAGCCTTCAAAACATCAGAAATCCTGACATGCTACAACATGGCTGAATCCTGAGGAAGGACGTTATGCTAAATGAAATAATCCAGTCACAAAAAGACAAATACCGTATGATTCCACTTATGTGAAATCCTCAGAGCAGTCAGATTCACAGAGACTGTTAGTAGAATGGTGGTTGCCAGGGGCTGGAGGTATGGGAAGTTATTGTTTAATGGGCATCGAATTTTAATTTTGTAAGATAAAAAGAGTTTGGAGATTGTTTGAACAGCAATGTGAATATACGTAACATTACCGAATCGTCCACTTAAAAATGGTTCAGATGGTAAAAACAAAACGAAATAAAACCCCAAACCCCCCAAACCAACTAAAGTCTAGAGCAGTTCATGAAAGATTATGCGAATATTACAAAAGGCTAGACAAAAGGGCATAGTTTTTCTGCCGAGAAGGGCGGTCCTCTCTAAACTTCTTCTGACCCACGGTTCACTGTGGTTCATCATCAACCTGTTTTGCCAACAAGATGATGAGACTCATCTTATGCTTCTATTATCTCTCGCACAGAACCTAGAACATTACTAAGCATTGGGTGAGGGTAAGGCATTTGAACGGGGCGATGAAGAATAGATAGGGCTTCCTCAGGTGGAGGAAGGGCGAAAAGGCAGAGGGGACGAGATGTGCAAAGGCAAGAAATATAGGGGAGAAAGTTGAAACCACCGGACGCCTTCAGGGAAATGCGAGTTGTTTCCACCAGGCACAGAGCAAAAGCGAGGGAAAGGGAAGAAGCCTTACAGAGACAGGTGGGGGCCGGACGGCCCAGGGCTCCTTTGCTTGCAGAGGAGAGCGGAAGAGAAGGGAAAAGCTGGAGAGAAGAGAAGAGTCTACAGATCTTGGCTACAGTGAAAGGGACGGACATGTGAGATGATGAGGAAGGCAAATTCAGATGTGTTCACATCATTTCGCTTGCTCTGTGAGTGATTAAAAACTTAAACTACCAGCCACGTACATACTAAAGTCATACCTGTGAGACTTTTCATTTTGACATGTTGTCTGAAAACCTGTACTCTTGTTTCAAGAGTGAAGTGAGAAGGAGCAGACTCTGTGAATCAATCTCAACGATCATCACCCCGTGTTCTCCTAGAACTTCCCCAGACTGTTTTGAAAGCTTAAGACCAGTGCACTTGCTTCCCACTGAACCCGAGGAATTCACTTTGTTGGAATTCCAAGGTTTGGTTTCAAACCGGAAATCAAAGTTCTCTTCCATTCAGATCAAATTCCAGCATGGAGGGTTTTATCCTCGAGAACCCTAGTCAGAGGATTCTGTAAAGAAGACAGGTGCTCTGCTGGCATAGAGTCTAAAAGATGCTTGTGACGGTCAGGTCGAGTGTGATGGATAGATAAGCCTGGCTGAGTGATGCCTGGAACAAGGGCTTTGGGTCGAGGAATGGCAATGAGTGGTGGTGACATCTTGTCAGGGCAAGCTTCTTCTCTGTCCTAGGTACCCTAGAGAAACTTGACCCCAGGCTTACGGACAAGAACGTGGGGCTGGGCCAATCGAAGGTGAGAAACCCAGATGATGCAGAAGTTAAGCATCGGATTTTAGCAGGCTTTCTAAGTGCTGTAAAATTAACCCAGCTGAGCGAAGTCTTCATCATATCTAACTTTTAATTACCTGACAATTACTATAAACTATGAATAAATTATTCACTCTAATAATAAACCACGGAAAGTTCCTCCAGCATCTACCTATGTTCATATACACTGCAAAGAATTACAATCATAATCTCAAAGTTGAAACAACTTTGCCCAAATATTTTTTTTAAAAAAAATGACCAAGAGTTTCCAAGATACACGATCAAATCCTTGACTTCTCTAGTATTTAATCTCGGTTTACTCCCTGCCTCCAGCCCCCTATTCTCCTAGGCCCGCCCCGCCCCAGACTGTTCCGAAAGCTTAAGACCAGAAAAGTAATATTGCAATGCAAACCAAATGCCTTATACACTCAGTGCAAGTTCATTTAATAAACTAGGTTGTTGCTTAAGGCCTCAAATGCTCACTGACAGTTACTGATAATGAACCACTTGAGCAAAAGAGACTAACAAACGAAAAACCCGCATCTCACCCAGCTCCACGTCTTGGTCATCGGTGAGCACGAGAATTATGTTAGGTCGGATGTTTTTTCGTTCCTGCTGGATCCGTCCTCTGAACCTCGGCGATCTGGCAGTGGAACAGAGGCTCCCCAGCAGCTCGGCCCCCAGGACAGCCCAGACCAGAACCCAGCAGGAAGACTTCATCGTGTTGGGTCCGATGTCACAAAACCGACACAACGTCTCAGCCTCCTGGTGTCTGCAGGTCTGGGCAGCCAGAGAGAAAGCGAGGGAGAGAGAGACTGAAATGAAATCCAAACCCCACACACAGTTGCAGAAAACGGGCCTCAGCCGAGCAAGAACTGGCACATAAGCTGGCATGGGAAGGGCGGGACGTGAGTCAGAAGTGGCAAACTCTCCCGGGCGCTGGGGCGTTGGAGCACTTGATTATTTTGCAAATTCGCTTTTGTCCTTTATTCTCATTCTAACGTCTCCTATTTCAATTCATGGCCGAAATATCATTTCCAACAGAGGGGCACGAGTGTGAAAGTTTTCTGACGAGAGTTAATACCTTGAATTAGGTATCCTGGGTGAAAAATCAATTTCTATACCCAGAGGTGCTCAGAACATCTGCAGATGGGCTCCTGGAAGGGGGAGAAAAAAAAGAAAAATACAAAGAAAACATGAGTGAAGGATTTCAATACAGGTTTTTGGTCTGAAATAGTCTCTTAAAGACAGCAGATAGATGATGATGATAGACAGATGATAGATAGGTAGATAGATAGATAGATAGATAGATAGATAGATAGATAGATAGATAGATGATAGAATTTTTTTTGCCTGCACTCCAAAAGGAAGAAACAGGAAGAAATTGACCCTCAGATGATCGACCTTAACAAACGACTCAAATAACATCTCCATTTCATAATCAGCTCCATAAAACAGTGCTAAGGGTATCATCTCCACTCACACCGTGACCGTACTTTTAAACATCCCAAGAAAACTAATGACAGATAAGGAAGAGCCAGCGATGCCCGTGAAAGCACTGTGCGTTTGGAGAGTGTGCCGTGGGGCGTGTTCAGGATCTGTTAACTCACCAGCTTAAGATATTTGAGTACTTATCGGAGTAGAATGACATGCAAAGCTGTCATTTGTCAACTGCGTTATGTCACTCACTACCCAGGAGAGTTCTTTCTGCTGACAAAGACTCCATAGCAAGTGACTGGGAGGGCAATCTTTTCCAGCCTCCACAAAGCTCGCAACTGCCCTCCGTCACTCACCAGGGGAAGAGGCGCTTCCTGCGAGCTAGTCTGGTCCCTCTGTCCAGCCTGTGTCTTCAGTGCACTGGCGCCTAAAGGGACAGAACCCTCCTTCGACTGTCAGCACCAGCTCCACTATTATCAGGACCCGGCGCAGAGATGCCTGCACAGAGGTTGTGCTTTGCTACTGCAGAACTCAACGGGCAGAGCAAATGATAGATTGGGCTCTGAGGCTGGGGCTCAGAGGCTACCCTTGCACATTAAAAAATAAATAAAATCTGGAGGGGCGCTCTGTGAAATCTCTGCCAGTCTGCCCAAGGGGAGAGTTTGAAAGCGTTGGAAAATGCTGCTTTCACTTTAGAACACTAACCCACTGCAAGCTTTCCTCCTGGACTTCTGAAAGATAGCGAAAGGCTCATTGAAAAAAAAAAAAAATCTGTCTCTTGGATGTCACAAGGGAATGTCTGTATGGGAATGTAGGCTGCCCTAAAATTAATTAGACAGTGGTCCACTTCATGAGCTCCTCTGTCCCCACGCATCTGAGGGTCTGTATTTTGATCTGCAACCATAAACTGGCATCAGATAAATAAACATAACGAATTAAGCGTGAGTGTTGCAGAGCAGGAGGAAAGGGACTCCATCGCGCATGTCTGCGTCTTACATTCTGGAGGGTGGCCTGGGACAGCGAAAGAAGAAAGGCTGTGTACTGTTTACCTCAGCCACACACAGTATCTTTGTTTACACAAACACACACACACACCCCTATTATTTTAAACTTTATGAGCTGTTTTGTAAACAGTTCTAATGCTTTTCACTCTGCAGCTTGTAATTAGAGACAGAGAGGGAGAGAGAGAGAGAGGGAGAAACCCCACAAGTAATCGGTTTTTGAACAAAACTCTAGTGTCTGCAGCAAGGCGGTCCTGACTCCATTATCTGCAGAGTGACCAAACAAGCCACCTCCGATTGGTCCCGTGGCTCTTGAAGTCCATACGTAAGATTCAGAGTTGGATTTTTGGGGGTAATAACTCAGGGTTATTTCAGTGATTGCTGGGCATGCCGAATACTGAAAGCCAACGATTGTTCTGCATCGACTGTTTGGTTTCTGCCCATTTGTTTTAAATCATGAGAAAACTGATACGAGCACAAAAGGACAGGAAAACGAAAGAAATAGGGCTTTCTCCCACAGAGCGTGCATCGGCCTGAACAGTTACATACAGAATTTCTTAGAGGGCTGGTCGTTTACGTAGCAAAACTCTGCTCACCTCTCAAAGCCTGCACGGGGGTGTGGAGAGAGACTGAGCAGGGTTTTCTTGCACTCACCATGGAACAAAACAACTTCTGCTGATTGCAGCGACCTAGAAGGGACAGTTAGACTCACTGTGTCCAGCAAACGGTGGCCCTCCGAGTTAAATGGCCAGCCACGCACGAAACTGAAAACTCCTGACAGTTAGGATGCTGATAACACTCCCTGAAACCCAATCAGCGTTGCTGGGCATTCTTTTCTTTATCTTACTTACTTTACTTCTTCCTTTAGGAAAAAGGAAATTAGTTTTAATGGTGCCTGGTAGAAACTACATTGAACATCATTTCCTAATGAAGAGAAGGGAGGCAGAGTAGATTTTTTTTTTTTTTTTTAGCCTATAAGGTGACTTTCCTTTCTGGAGAGTTAAAGGTACAGGAGGGACCGACATTTCTTATGACACAGTTTATGATCGATTTAGGGGATTTGTATGTAAAAACACGGGAATTGAGAGGTAAAGAGCTTTCGACAGGCCTGGCCCGCAGGAGTGCTCGATCCTTTATCCCACCTCCCTTCGCTAAAACACACAAAACACACTACTGTGCAAAAACTGCACACAGACAATTCTTTATTCAAAGCTGACCTTTGAAAGCCTGTCATCCTCTCACTGCCTGGTTTCCACCTCCAGAAGGAAAAGAAGTAAAGAAGAAAAAGAAGAAAAAAACTCTCTCAGACAAAATGCAGAACCTGACAACAGAGACAAGGATGCAATGTTTGAATTGGATACTTTGCGGCGGGCGACAAGTGCCCTTAGAGACTAACGATTTGTCTTGAGAAACAGTCGAAAATTGGAAGAAATGTAAAGAGAGCTTTTTCTCACACGTGGAAAGGGAGCTTGAGGAATCGTGCTCCAAGCCCTCAACGAAATATGCCAATTGTAGTTATGGCCAATCGGGCAAAGTTTATAGAACAGCGTTTAAAGCAGTTGAGCCAAACTCTACAGGTGACGTGAAAAGTTTCAAGACACATATAAAAGAAAAAAAAAAAAGACTGGGAAGACTTCATGCCCACTGGGAGGAGAGTCGAGTTCGCATGTGCCTGTGTGGCTGGACCCCACTTCAGTGCCCAGGAGGTTTCTGGGGGTCTCTGTCTCTACCGAGACCCTCCCTCCCCCCGTCCGGCATTTGGTGCTGAAGTAAAAGGGTCCCGCTTCGTCCACCGTAGCAGTTCTCTAAGGGTGACTGCGAACTTGGGGGAACCCTGAGATCCTTTTGGGGGGTCCACAAAGCCACAACTATTTTGATAAGAATACTGGCACGTTATTTGCTGTTTTTACTTTGTTGATATTTCGCGGATGGAGTAAGAGCAACGGTGGGTAAAACCGCAGTTTTTCAAAAAGCCAGTTTCACTTAAGATGAAGCAGTAAAATGACTCATTTTCTTAACCTTGAACCCTTGACTACAGATCTTTTCCAGTTTCTGTTTTAGGAGCTAGGAGGTCCATACAAAGGCCTGTGGAGGTGTCATGGTTTTCTTGAGGAAAAACACTTGTGTGACCTAGTTGCGGGCTGAATCGATACCATTTTTTTTCTCATAATCACCATTTTTACTTGAAAGAATTAGTTGGACTTAGATATTTGGCAGTCATTTTCTCAAATGATGAATGAAACGAGACTGTCTTTTCAAGGAAAACAACTGGCAGTATTTGCTGCATTTGCTGCCAACAACAGAAATCTAGCTTTCAACTTAAAACCAGGATTTTGGAACGCTCGGATTTGCCACTATGAGCTTGGCAGCTTGCCAATACAGAAAACCTTTCCGATGACATTGGTGTTGATATTCGTGAGTGTTATTTTTTGATATGGTAAAATGAAATGTGTCGACATTTGGGATATTTGCTTGATCTGCTGACCCAATAGCTCCCAAATGACCAAATCCGATGCTACAAAATCATACATGAGTAAAAAAATTTCAATCAAAGTACATGAAGACCTGTTGGATTTTAAAGTAACAGTATTAAAATTTTCATCGATATGGTTTCAGATTTCTTACCACTTCTAACTTTTAAGAAATTACCACTTGTCAAGTTTTGGTATAGTATCAAAGAAGATCTACAAGTATCTGAAAAAACTATGAAAATATTTCTCCTTTTCCAACTACTTATCCACATGGGGCTGAATTTGATTCCTAGACTTCCACCAAAACAGCAGATTTCAACAGATTGGATGCAGAAGCTGCTTTAAGAACCCAGCTCTCTTCTATTCAGATAAACATTGACGAGATTTGCAAAACTGTGAAGCAATGCTACTTTGCTCACCCACATCTTTCTGGTTTGGAAAATATAGGTATTTTCCTAAAATATATCAGTTAACATATAATAGATTTATTATTGTTATTTTCAAAAGGATTAATAACTACTTAAAAAATTTCTCAGCTTTAATGTCTACCTATCAATAGCTATAATCTTATAAATAAAAGCTCTTGGGGGTCCTCAATAAATTTTAATATATAAATGGTTCCTGAACTCAAAGGGTTTGAGAGTTGCTGGCTCATGGCATACCTAGTTCCACGGGTCAATCCAGATTGTCACCTCTAAGACGGTCGATCTGGCCCTAGTCACAAAGTTCTCATTCACTTTTTTTTTTTCCCTTAAAGCCTTGAAACTGTCCTAAATGCCTGATACCACATAGGAGTTGTTAACGAGTGATGGCATACTGTTTTTATTTTTTTAATCTGAAGATAACACAAAACTTTACAAATGAATGCCCGTACACGTAAAGCATGCAAGTCACAGAATGAGAACCACCCACTCAGCACAGAAATACACCTCTCAGGGATGGGGCAAAGAACTATTTCCAGAACAAAGCAATGCACTCCATAGGGCAGAGAAAAAAACGAACATCATAACCAACCAACACAGCAGGGGAGATGAGGCCAGCAAACATGCCATTTTTAGAAGTTGAATATAGCCAGAACACATGTAGTTTATCACCACAGTGACGCAAAACAGGATTATGCCTGCAAAAAGCTGGTAATCACATCCACCCACAGCCGCCACCAATCTACATACATTTCTTAGCATCAGTTTCTGTGACCCTTTTTCCCTTAATATTGGCTTTCAGGTTTCCCATACATCATTTCTTCTC